CCTTAGAATTCAATGCAGTAGTTGCACTGTTAAGGAGAGTTTCTCTGTCACTCAGTTCAACAGGCTGTCCCATGTTGGTCAAGACTTCAGTGCCTTTTTCCAATGCCTTCTGGAATGACTCCGAAATGATGGTGGGATGAATTCCTAAGCAGAGTTTAGGATATAAATTTATTCAAACTATAGTCAATATACAAATAATAATCTATGACATCAACAATCTGATTTCATAGATTGGTTTCAATGATTTGATCTCACAGAATGATTTCAAATCAAGCTGTCTGTAAAAGAATTGCGTAAGTAGTAGGTAGACGGACAAAACCAAGCTTGGAATAGCGAAGGCCACTGAAAAAACTGATTAGGATTTTAAAAACAAAAAAAAAGCAAAAAAAAAAATGGAAGCAAAAAAAAAATATGACAAATTATTCATATTTAATATACTATAACCAGTCTTCCAATTTATCTCTAAAACTATTAGTTACATTAGCCATATGAAACAAGAATTAATTTTTTAATCTACAAAAATCTTTCCTTTTGTTTTTATGGAAGAGATAACAGGTTGCTTCAGTCATATAAGCCATGAAGCCATTACATTATAGTAAAATTTTATTTTTTTTGTATTTTGGACTCATTTTTTGAGTCTCTCATCAAGGTTTCCATGCAAACAACACAAAGGAAAGTTCCCTCTCCCCCCCTTACCTGAAAATGTCCAATCAGGTGGTTGCATATTGTTCAAGAAACAGATGCTCGGTTCCCAGTTCTGCATCTCATTATTCTTCCTTACATTCCAATCTTTCCCTCTCCCCCCCCCCCGCATGTCAGGCTGACAGCTCATGGCGCTTGGATAGATGAGATGCAGCCATTACAGCCATAGACTTAGATACAGAAGTTTTCTACTATGGCAAAAGATCATCCAGACTATATTTTTATTATTTCACGTTGCATTTCCATATACAAAGCTGTATGTAAACATACCTTTCTGAAGAAGTCTGGAACAAGCATCCAGGAGAGCACCTGCAATGACCACAACAGATGTAGTGCCATCTCCAGCTTCAATATCTTGTGCTTTTGATAACTCCACCAGCTACATATTGTTAAATGTTGAAAGAAAAAAATGTAAATTCCTCTATAACACTACTATAGAGGTTTTTATTAACCAAACACATGCAATATACAAATGCACACATTTCTAGACAGTTCCATGTCAATGTACTACAGTAATTATTTTCTATAAGGAATATAACCATCATAGTGGCTAGTATAATTTGGCTTTAGGTATGCATTGACATAAATTTAAAAAACTATATTATTTACCATTTTGGCTGCAGGATGAAGAACCTGCATCTGCTTCAGAATTGTTGCACCATCATTTGTGATTGTCACATCACCTTTACCATCTTGGATCTATAAAAGCACAATCAAGTTTTTGGACACCAACTCAAAAAAGAGAAAATCTACAAACAAAATACAAGTTGAAGCATCAATTTATATTATTGTGCACTAAAAAGTACAAGCCATTGGTTCAATATGGCAAACTACTATTTAGCTTAGGGGTTAGAAATATTTTCAGGAACTTTCATGGGCACTAATGTACCCCAGGAAATTTCAAGAGCATGAAAACTCATGAAATTTAGCCATCCTAGAATATTTTAATTATTTTTAATAATTTCAATGTTAGATTCAACAGATACCAATGAATGGCACCACCCTAATTTAACCTTTGCTGTTTTCAGTACCCATTCTTTATTAAGCTTTCCTTATCTCATAGATTCTCCTCCTGACACTTCTTGTCTGCCTTGTTAAATTAGCCAGGCGGCTTGACATTGCCCTCTACGCTTCTCTCCCATACACCTTCTTATGCTTGTCTTACCATTCACTTCTTAAATGGCAAAGTGAGACTGATGTATGAGTTTGAATGAAAGTACAATTCTTTCATTTTATCTAATGTAAAAATCATCTGCCAAAGATTCACTGGCAGTTCATTTATAAATACAGTACATGACAAATAAGACTTATTTCTATCCCTTCGTTTCTCATGACCCTCCAACTTCTTAAGGCGCATGTAGTTACATTAACTAGAATAGCTGCACGAAATCTATTTCACTATGATATTCTAAGCACTTTCCTTTATTACTTCTGAAAACATATATAGAATAGAATAGAATAGAATAGAATAGAATAGAATAGAATAGAATAGAATAGAATAGAATAGAATAGAATAGAATAGAGCTGGAAGGGACCTTTGAAGTCTTCTAGTCCAGCCCCCTGCTCAAGCAGGAGGACCTACACCATCCCAGACAGGTGATTGTCCAGTCTCTTTTTTAAAACTTCCAGTGATGGAGCACCCATGATTTTTGGGGGTAAGCCGTTCCATTGGTTGATTGTCCTCACTGTCAGGAAGTTTCTTAATTCCAGGTTGCTTCTCTCCTTGATCAGCTTCCAACCATTGTTTCTTGTCCTTCCCTTTGGTGATGTGGTGAACAACCTGGCCCCCTCTTCTTTGTGGCAGCCCCTCAGATACTGGAATACTGCTATCGTATCTCCCCTATTTCTTTTCTTTAGACTGGCCAAACCCAAGTTTGTACATTTTGGTCTCCAGACCTTTGATTATCTTAGTTGCTCTTCTCTGGATTTTTTCCAGACTCTCAACATCTTTTTTGTGATATGGTGACCAAAATTGCCTGCAGTATTCCAGGTGTGGTCTTACTAGGGCTTTATAAAGTGGTACTAATACTTCGCGTGATCTTGATTTTATGCCTCTGTTTATACATCTCAGGATTGTATTAGCTTTTTTGGTTGCTGCTGCACACTGCTGGCTCGTATTCAGCAACTTCATATCAGTTTTCAATGGATCTACACATAGGAGCTCAAATACTAAGCCTCTGCAAAGTGTTCAAAAGTACACTACCGTGAGTAAGGACTTGCAGAAAACATTAATAAAAGCTGCATTTTCAGGAAAATTTGAGGTGGCTATATCAAAGGAATCCTGAGTGTCTGCACATGCAGAGTTGCTTAGTTTTTGGTCCAGCAAAAATACTGTCTATGAATGTACTTGAAGACAATTGGTAAAAGCCTTTGAAGTAGCTCAAGCTGTCTTGAGAACAGTTACTTTACTGATTTCAGAATGTTTTGTTTCTGCTAATGCATTCTGCAAAACATCTTTCAAATGCTCTTCACAGCCTTATTATAAGCACAAGTATACATGTACACACACACAAAACCCAAGCTCAAAACTCACCATTTTATCCATTCCCTTTGGCCCAAGACTTGTCCTAACAGCATCCGCAATCGCTAAAATAGAGATGAAAATAAATTTTATATACCCAAAGAAATTTACTTCAAGTGTAATTTCATTTATTGTATTTGTCATGGCTGCCCACTCTGACAGACATTGGGCAGCCACAAAAAAAAATCTAATAAATGTGACACTAAATTCTTTAGGATGTTTAAAATACCAGTTTCCACAAAACTACAATAAACTGATTCATATATTAAGCCATTGCTTGTTTAATTATGGTTTGCTAAATAAATTCCAACTTTAGTTCACACATGGGCCAAAAATGAAAAATTACAATATGCATGTCAAATTTTCAAATTATACTAACCCATAAAATATTTGAAAGTGGCTTCTATAATTGATTGTATATACTGCCTGTCATAACTTATTCAGCAAACTAAAATGGAACAATCCTGCATGAACTCAATAATTGTGTATGGAAAGCTAACCAATAATGCAGGAAAAATAGCAACAGTAATACTAAAATGTTATAATACTGTTTTATAATCTTATATTAACTGTAAATATATCAGTTATATTTTGGATAATTAAAGAACATCATATAAATTTAATTGTATATTACTTAAGAACAAATGTTATTTGACAATAACATGCAACTCACATGAACACTAAAATATCTGAAATCTGATGAAAGGATTATTCTCCCCATATGAATTTGCTTTTGATCTTCAGCTTTTATTTTTATTTTTTTGCATCTGACACCTGTGGTTCAGCATCACCCAGATGATGCTGAACCACAGGCTACCAATCACCTTTCTGTTCCCCCAAGCCTTTTCCACTTATGAACGTAGATCTCCATCAATCTTAAGCCCTAATCAAATCAACCATATTATAGTGTATTGTGCTGCACAATCAGCCCAAGGAAGTTTTTCTTCTAGAAAAAAATATTTTATTTCAAATCACACTGAAAACTTTCAGTACAATGACATACATTACACTTTCTGAAAGTGGGAAAAGAATAGGAAGGGATAAAAGAAATCAGTTCTTTACAACGAATGCGGCGCACCTTCTTCCCTTTCGTTTAAAAAAAAAACCCAGAAAAATAACGGGGCTACAAACAGCAAACTTTTATGCTGCTCGACCCTCTTTATTTTCAACAAGACTCTGAAAGCGTTTCAGTTCACTCCGACAAAAGAAGCTGCTGGCCGAGGGTGCGGTCCGCGGGCTTTAGGAACCGGGAGTCCCTGTCCGAGCCCGCCAGGTGTCAACGGAGCGGTCCACTCATTCCCCCGTCTTCCCCCCCCCCGCTCCGCAATTGGAGACAATGAGATGTCCCATCACCGTACCTTTTCCTGCAGAAATGTTGCTGAAGCGGATCTGGGCGGGCTTATCTTTATCCTGGTAAGACCTGCGATTGCCGCCAGAGTTGCGGTTCCCTGTGGCCGCATTCAGAAAGGCCCCTTTTGTGCTTGCGTTTTCCGGCATGTCTGCGCCCGGATACCTGCTCAATCTTGCGATGGAGATGGATTCCTTTCCCCCGTCCTGGAACCTGCACCACCAACGTTTCCCCGCCGACCCGAAGCTTCCAGAATGCGTCGGCAGCAGTTGGAGAAGAAAGGACCTTTTAGCAGTCGCTCAGACTGGCGCTGAAAATGACGTTTCCTACAGGTCTGTCTTTGTAAGTGCCTGATTTCCAGTAAACACAGGAAAGCACGAACGTTTTTTAGAAGTAGTGACCTCCGAGAAAGGAAAGTATAAATTTGGCATCTATGCATAAAGGTCTTGCAGAGGCTGAAGCCGAAGTATTTTAAGTAGGACAATAATACCAAACAGCGAATAAGATGGGCATCTAAAGTCACAGGCTGCAGTGTCATTCTTAATTGCCTAACAGTCTGAATGCTGAATTCTCTTCTATTGGCGCGGAATACAATTGGAAGCATCAATTTAACAACCGCGAATTGTTGCAAATTGTAAAGTACAAAATAGAGAAAAATATCCACACATTTATTCTGCTATTTGTTTTCTTTCTTTTGAAAACAATCCAATATAAAATGAGTGGGATTTCTAAGTAAATCTGCATAAAAATACAGACTGGTAGAGCTACCGGTATATGGGATTTAAGAACCAGTGATGAACTGTCTGCTAAAACAAAGCAAGGCTATGGAATACACTTGAAAGAAAACAGAAGTCTGTATTTGTGGAGTCTAACTGGCAAGAACAAAGAGCGTCACAGTGTTCTCTGTATTTCCTTAGGAGGAGATAAGCGCCTGTATAAATTTGATTAATAACTAACGTCATGCAAGCGTGTAAAAAAAAAAAACTTTCACGCTTCTAGATTAGAAAGACATGCCTTGCATGCCTTGCAACTGAGATCAAGGGACTAGGCTTTCCATTCCCGTCACCAAAAGGGGGCGCAACTGTTCCCAGGAAATAGCGATCGCCTTTCAAGGCAGTTTTTGTCCCCGCCCGGCTCCCATCCTCTAATCTTTTCAGGTCCAGTTGGGCCTCTTCGAACAAGATGGCGGCTTCTGCGGAGCATCCCTTGCCTGAGCCTGCCAAGCCCTTACTCGGGCTCCTAAATGGTATCGCTCAGTCCACCTTTTATGGCAATACAGAGATCACGGAAGAGCTGCTGCGGGAGCAACTTTACCCGGAAACGTCGTCGCAGGAATTTGGAGTTCTGCTGGCTAAAATGAAAGGAATCATCAAGGTAACGGAGGCGTGGCTGGCAGGTTGGCCGGAGTGGGGCAGAGCGGTGCAAAGCGGGAGGGAGTAAAGCGGGGGGAGGGGGCGAGCGAGGCTGGTCTGGCAGCTGGGTACGAAATCACACAATAAAATCTTTGCCAAGCCCGCACTTTTCAAAAGCAGATGAATTAAGCACACTTTCCTTGCATTTCAAAGTGGGGGCAAGAGAGAGAGCCAGCTGGCTAAGGGCGGTATCCGATGCTCGCAGCAATCCCGGATTCGGATGAGAGGCAGGATCAGGCTAGATTTCTCTTCCCAAATCCCCCAGCACCACCGAGGCAACTTCTATAAAGCTATACAGGCTGGAAATCCTGATAGCTGTAGCAACACTTCTGGAGAGCAAGATTGGGGGTGCCCACCCTTGTAGGAAAAAAAAAATGTCTTCTCCGGGTTTATTTATCTCCTGGAAAGGACAGGAAGGAGCAATCCCTCTTATCCTCCAAATGCAGCCAGAGGAGTAGAGATAGCTTTTCCTCCTCAGAGCAGCCACTGCCTTCTCTTCTCACTTATCTGCACTTATCTTCAGTTTATTCACTTATCTACAGCTGTGCAGTTTGGGTTTGTCAAGGCCAGGCCTCCTCCTGCCATATTCAGAGAGGCCCAGCAGGGTTTTTCCTTACTGGGGCTGGCTCAGGTCTGATCAGAAGTCTACAATCCTGCTCAAGGCACAACCTGCCTGGAGGAAATGTCATTTGCTCCATTTAACCCACCTCTCTTCTACTCAAGGGCACTGAAGTCATTTCTCCATGCCACATTGTTCTTAGAAAGAGGAAGAAATGGCAGTTGCTTTCCATGCAATGATCTCCAATACTGGCACTGATCGATCTCAGTTACCAGAATTCCCTACGTTTATTCCTTAGTTGGTGCAATCTTGGATTCTAAAGCCTTTAACATCTTTTTTCTAACTCAAAGCTAGTATTTGAAATGCATGCAGTTTTTCTTAGAATTTGAAATATAATTTCTAAGTCAAGTTTTAACATTTTCTGCTTCATGAATGTGAAGCAATTTTTGAACATGCACAAAAGGAATTTCTTTGAACGAGAGGAATCCCTTTTGTCTGAATATTCTGATAAATTGTAATAAAATGATCTTCTGTCTCAATTTGTCTCATTAGAAAATATGCATGCCGAGGCACGAGCCTAAAAATAGCCATATTTGGCCATCAGGAGAGCGTTTAGGGGGTTTCCCCTAGCATATTGTATGTAAAAAGTTTGTATTTTTTTTTCTGTCATCAATAGAAGGACTGCTATAAGTTCACTGGAAGTCCTAAACTTACAACAACAATTGAGAATGGAACTGCTGTTGCTAAATGATGTGGTTGTTAAATAAGCCTTGACATGATTTTGTGACTTTTTTGCTGTGATCATTAAATGAATCTAGTTTTCCCCTATGATTTTGCTTGTTGGAAGTCCCCTGGGAAGCCACAAAAGGCAATTATGTCATAAATGTTGCTTGATATTTATTGTATTATATGATAGTTTAAGGCGTGACATCGCGCAATGTATCAGAGCTTTTTCGCCATTGCCGGCATTGGGGTGGGTGTGGTTTCTCGATGATGCATCTGGCCCGCGGGCCGGCAGTTTGACACCCCTGATTTAAGGTATAAATATTATTTTGTTCATTTTGGTTAAACACATTATTGAAACCCAGTCAGTGTAATTTTTAAAACTAAGACATATTGTTGAATACATTGTGTGAATTGAGCCAACTGTTTGTAAGAAACCATGAATCTAGCCAGTATATATCTCCTAAACCTGATCTGAAACCCATCACCTTCGAGGAATTTTATTACCCTTTGCATAATTACAAAAAAAAAAAGATAATTTTATAGTATTATTTTGATATTTTATAGGAAATATCGGCAGAAATTCAAATAGAGAACTATCTTTAAGGTAGTTATGTTTTTGATTTTGTAAAACTTGGTTTTAATTTAAGTTTAATTATATATGTATATAGATAGCATATGTATATGTGTGTGCATGTATGTATATAGATACACACACTTTTGAGAGCGGGCGTCAGAATTTTATTTTTTAATGTGTGCCAATGTGTTCACAGAAAAAGATGACAATAAAGATTATCTTATCTTAATTGCAAGATGTCAAAACATAACCATTTCTGTCTGAAAAGTTTATATACCATAAAACTTTCCATAAATTCTGTTCTGGTTTCATTCTTGGACCTATGTCATTTGGTTATAACGCAGTAGCAAATTAAGAATAATACAATCAGCGTACAAAGCTAAGAAAAATAATTTTAGTGAAACCAAACATAATTTGAGGTAATAAAATGTTTTGATTCATTCTTATTTAAAGATTTCATGCTAGAACCTTTATTCATATCTTTTTGCTTGAACAAAAGGGACATGAAGTTTAAAAGCAGAATATAATAATTCACAAGACTTAAATACTGTTTCTGAATGTTGCAGTTCTTATGTAAATAAAAATATAGAGCAGTTTCTAACCATTGCAGAGCCAAAATGATGAAATGTGCATTGTGATGTCATAATGTAAGCTCCACTGTTTCATATTTGTATTGTAATGTTGTAACATAAATACCACTCTATACATAGTTGCATGCAACCTGGTTGCCTATATGTAAATAATAAATAAAGCCTGTCACCTTAAATTTGGAGCAAACTAGCTGATGGTATTTGTGCCTTCCCATAATGGGTGAAGCTGTGACTCTGAAATTTGGATTGCCCTTTATTCTTCTTTGTATAAACAGAAATAAGGTTATTCATAGAAATAATTGTTTTCCTTTCCTACTTGATTGCTGGCTGTTTCATTGAATAAGTCAGTTTATTGACAAATCATATTCATGTAATGAGGAACTTATTCTAAATTTCAGAACAATATTTCATAAATAAAAGACATAAATTTATAGTGAGTTTGAACCCTTGTATTGTGTGATTCAGTGTAAGTACTGTAGGTTTTTTTAACTTAAATAGTATTTGGGATTATTTCACTTTCTTCCTCTAGATGGCAATGTAATATACAATATCCAGCTTTGGTGCAAAAATTGCTGCATGTTTAATGCCATCTTTCCAGTTCTCCTTTTCAAATCTGGTATTTGAAATTTACTGACACTGCTGATATAGTGTGATTTAGCATATGACCTCTCTGCTAATGGCTGTAGCACATTAAATGATACAACAACCTTCTTTAAATTGCAAGAAATATCTTGTACAAGGTATATTACCAGATATTTATCTTGCACTTTGATCTTTTCAGTCACAAGACTTGTTTCAACAAAGAAAACATAGTTAAAGCCTTGCTATTTGTATAATGGCAATAGAAGAAGGGGACGACAGAGAATGAGGTGGCTGGATGGAGTCACTGAAGCAGTAGACGTGAGCTTAAGGGGACTCCAGAAGATGATAGAGGACAGGAAGGCCTGGAGGAACGTTGTCCATGTGGTCGCGATGGGTCAGACAGGACTTTGCAACTAACAACAACAATTTGTATAATACAAAAGCTTGGAGTTAAGAAAATTCTTTGTTTCTGCAATATATCCAAATATAATTAATGAAGGATACAAATAATTGCAGTTAAGCGATCTTTGTGAGGCAAATAGAGTGTGAAGTAAATAATCTATTATGTGGGCAAGACAGAAAATATGGAGTTAGACAATTTTGTACACATTTCATGTTGTATATAATGAAACATTTCCAAAGATTTTTTAAGTTGGATCTTATAGTACAACATTTAAGTTTGCAGATAATTGGCAATAATAGTGACAATTATTATTCCTGCGTATTTTTTTCCCCACACCTTACTATAAATAAAAATCTACTTTGAGGATCTCATAAGAAGCAGTCATATGATAGTAGTATAAAGGAATCCATACAAATGTCTTATATATATGTATATATGCATGAATCAAAAGAATGCATACATCTGTCTGCATGTGATTGTTAAGGGAGAAGTTAATTATTTAAAAAAGATTGGCAACGTAACATATACAACTGATTGTATATTGCAGTTGAAGTATAGACCTGAAATACTTCTCACATTAGTGGAATGTATCTTATTCCTATGGACAAAATGGTTTATCTATGAGTGAAATTTCTTAGTAAATGAAATTACAATACTACCTAATTCTACAGTTTGTTGGGGTATCTTGTAATATTTGCCTCAGACATTGTCTCATTTTTGATGCTCTCTTCTTTGACCTTTCTTTTTAAAGTGATTTTTCTGCAGATCCAGTCCTTAAGGCAATTAATTATTCATAAAATACAAGCTTTCTACTAATGTATAAAATTAGACTCAGTGGACAACCAAAGAAATCAATGAAGGAGAAAGAAAAATCTGATTAGCATGTGAGAGAGAAAATGTGGAATAGAATAGTCAGAAATCAAAAGAAACATAAAAGCAAGAAAGGAATCTACTCAGACCTTACCCAAATACATCATTTCCTTATTTAGTTTGAAAAATTGTTTTAAAATATCCAATACTATAAACATTAAGGAGAATCTGTGAAATTATGAATGCTGAATAAAAGCATTTTACCCACCATAATCCTTCTACAGATCTCTCAATTTAAGAACTTTCTTCTTTGCATTAGTTTTTTTCCTAAATAAAAATGCCAAATAGCACAATCCCTTTGTGGTTTTCAGCCTCTTGATCATTTCTGCAGTTCATTTGGAGTTTTCTAGCACTTCGTCAGCTTGTGCTTCTAAACTAATATTTGCAATAGGAGAAGCAAAACATGTGACTGTATCCTGAAAGAATCAGTTCTGGTTTCTTTCTGTTTCTCATTTTTACTTTGTTCCTTTCCTAACTCGCATAGATATTTCTCTTTCACGTACATCTTTGCAAGCAGTACACATATATTAATTTCATCAATATTTTACATGTATTTAGTTCAGAAAATTAAAAAAAATTCAATAATATTATTTCCTAAAATCTATAAAGATGCTTCTTGCACACTATGCCACCAGTTTAAAACTGCAACAGCAAAATG